AGAGAGAGAGAGAGAGAGAGAATCATTGCATGATTAAAAAAAGGAAAGACGGAAAATAGAAAATAACAAAGATTGAGCTCCTAATGGGAACTCATTTTATCAGTGATCTTATTTGAATTTAAGGTTCGAGAGATTGTTTCTGCAAGATACATGGAGAGAGGATCCAAAGTAGTGTACATATAATCCCTTTGCTACCAACTAGAATGCGTAGCCGACAAAACTGGGTTACAGAACAAAAACTCATCTATAGCACCTGGATTAGGAAGCCAAATGTTGACATAACAATCAATTCAAAAAAATAAAAGGAAGAATAAAAAGATGTTGAACAAGTAGAGCATCTAAAAGTATCAAACATATGTAATTGCAATAAACAAATATAAAGTAAATGAAGGAATACAAAATCTAGAGCACAAGCAATTTTCACAATTTAAAAACTGGCAAGCAAAGCTACAGCAAGACCAATCCCTCCATTCGTGACGATTTCAGGTCAATTACTATATATGACTCATGACTGGTGTTACCACGTAAAACTCTGCTAACTGTCAATTCCAAGTAAATGGAACTATGATAAGCCCCTTTGCCATTTTATTCGACATACTAGTTAACAACTTCAATCCCCTCTTTCACACAAGTCTCCCACAAGCTTATATGCAATAGTCCTACCGGGATAGAAGTGCTTGAATGCCATCTCATCTACAAGAAGATCCACCTCCTCAAACTCCATAGCTTGGCACAAACCATGAAAAAGAGTTTGACAACTCACAACACCAGGGAAGCAGCCACTTCTGGGCATGTTTCAACAAACACAACTGCCTCTTTTGCACTTCCCAATCCACAAAATCCGCCCAATCATTATGTTATACATGAAAACATCAGACTTGCAGTGACTCATCTATGAATCTAATCGAAAACTGCAAAAGCTGATTCAAAATCCCTTTCTTTGCTAACGCCGCAAATTAATGCATCATGAGTCACTGTACCAGACTCACATCCATTTGATTTCATCTCTTTTATGAACTGAAAAATCTCTCGCATCGGACCTGCCTTATAGAGTTTTCAATCCAATTCAATTCCATTATCCTAACAAAGAACATTCACCAATGAAGAATAAAGAAGTGAATTAAGCTGCACATTAAAACATGAAACCACATCTTCCTTATGTTGAAAAGCTTTATTCAATATGTGAAATCAAGCATAGATTAAATACCAGAGTTCGAAACATCATTGGAACAGGCCGAATTCCATTGGAGACCATCTCTTAAAACATTTGACAAGCATGGTCCAGAAAACTACTCAAGTAAAAGGCCTTAAACAAAATATTGTAAGTTCACAAATCCGTAGAAGCATATTGATCAAGCTCATAATAGATTCAAGCAAAGGTTTCCACGTCTCTGCAATTGGGGAGCACATTTAGGAGTGTGTTTAATGCTCAAAATTTTGCGCAGACATTTGGGGCTTTCAGTTCTTAACATAGAAATTTGATCACAGGGCAGAAGAGTTGTTCTTTAGGTGTGAATTGGGTCTCCTTCTGCAACTCTTGATAGTTGATTCTGATGATTCAAACATCTTTTCTCTACCATGCCTCAGAATAATGAGATCGTAAGAGAGCGAAGAGTAGCAAAAGGATGAAAATGTTATGGCTTTGAAAGAGTTGCAGGGCCAGTTTAGGGTCCTTTTCAAGGTGGATTATGGCTGCAAGTCAAAAAGAATGATCTTTTTTGTGACCGATTCCATTTTGTGGAGAAACTAAGCCAAATTATAAGGTTTTGGGGATGGAGGGGTGGAGGAGCAATCAAATTCTAGAGTTTTGGGGGATCTATGTGCAACAGTGAAGTAGGGAGGGCAGAAAATGGAATTAGAATTCGACAAGTAGAGCAAACTACAGCTCAAAAGCCCGAGTGCACTTCCAATTATGGTCACCGCACAAACTGGAATTATACGCATTGGGCATTGGAGACTGAACTGATGCGGCGGTTAGAAATGCTTTTAGGCCCAATTGAAGTTTAGCTTTGAGTTTTAGAAGTCCATAGTCCAAAATTATGAACAGCGAGAGAGAGAATAGGAAAAAAGTAACGACGATGCCAAGAGGATCCACAGATGCAACCCTAGCAATAAGATCAAGAGACGGTGAATTATTGTGAGAGAGATAGAGAGGGGAAAGATTTAATTCAGATAGATAGAAGACGAAAAAGAAGAGACGGATGCAGAGAGGACCCAAAGGCAAAAGCCTAGCAATATATCAAAAGGAAAAAGAGAAGAAAACGAAGAGAAATCAGGAACCATCGATGTCATAAGCAAAGGGAGAAAGGAACTCTAGGTGTGAGAATAGATACCTTGGAGGTCACGAGGTGGCACCCTCTTTTCTGGCGAGGAAGAACGACTGTCTTCTGAGCCCATTTGGTCGCCATTGTTTGAGGAGGCTTTTGAAGCTCCACCCCACTGCGACTGCCCTGTGCCCTAATCCTAACAGGCGGAAACGACGGTTTAGAAGGGCAGAAGACGGAACTGAACATCTCAGAGAGACGCTGAGACTGACCTCCTTTTATCATCGGGGAGAAGTTAGAGAGAGAAAGGAGGGATTTAGTGTTGAGAAGGGAAAAGATCAGGACGATGAGAGAGAAAAACAGCACGAGGCGAGAGTTTACTCTGCATTTACACGTGCGGGACATTCGGATAAAAGAGGATATCTTAGGGCAATAAGAGTTCAGTGCACGTGTGAGTCCTTAGGGCCACCTAGAGAGCTAGAGCATAGTTTTATTTATGGAGAGAGGCTACGAATAAACTTTGTAGTGTGAGAGTGGAGTTTTGAGGATAACATTTTGCACGAGAGACGGACCACCTAAGCCAGCCCGTAGGGTTTCGGCTTTCCGTCAACAGGCTGGACGCTCCTGAGCTAGTAGCCCTAGTCCCCGTAGGGCCGCCCGGCCGGCCCCGATGGGCGAACCTAGCTCATATAGGACCGTTAGATCAGGTCCAAGACCTAGCCCTAGTCCAAGGTTGGGGCTAGGTAGGGCCTAATACACTCAAAACTAACGTAAAAGAAAATGAGGCATCGAGTTAGCCTTCTTGTCGCTCAAACCGTGCTTCATATAACATTTTGTAGCTTAGGCCCTAGTTTTTCAGGAACGGGGAGATTGGGCCCCCAGGTCATTACAACTTGCACCCTAGAGGCTTGTTTGGATACCTAGATGGGACTCTCCGGGATAACTTTATCACATGTTGGACTCTTATCCCTTGTTTGGGTAACACACTCATGTGTGTTTAACTGATTCTCCAAGAGCGGCTAATCCATGTTTTTGGGCCAAAAACATGGAAGAATGCTATTCCACCAAAATAGGTGAAATAGAGCTATCTACAATTTTTTGGATTGGCCATCCCTGTTGGATCCAAAAATTTATAATTCATTTAAGTTAATTTGAAACATTGAGGTCCGTTAATAAAAAAAAACATCTTACTTAAATATTATATATAATATAATAAATATTTATATTATTTATAATAAAATATA